AATAGTATCAAGAATGTCATATTAGGGCTGAGACTCACCTGTTTAGTCACTATTTTTTGGTGAATGCTCATTTACTTTGATTTAGCATAGTAATTATTTTGTCGTGTTATTTTTACTGGTACATATGCTATAATATGTCTGCAACATTTCCTTTACCGAAAAATTGAAATTTATTTGCATATGTTTGTAGTATATGAAGAGAGGGATAAGTCTTCATATAAATATGGGGACTGTCTCAATATGGAACCAATACATTTCTCTATGCATATCGTTTTGGCAAATATTAGAACAGCTACAGTGAACACAACATTGGATGAATGTCCACAATTGTTTTTATTCCGTGACAAAAAATCAGAACTATTTTATTGATAAAAAAAAATAAACAAATTTGTTTAAAGGATGACATTTCCAGTTTTCTGAATATACATAACATGTCTTGTGGGTGTAAAGGTGCAGCTGTAATATCATGAGGTCATCTCGAGCACGAACACGAGGTCATACAACCATGAACAATTTAAAATCACAAACATTACTTTTGTGCCTGTCAAAATACAGTTCCTGATATTCAATGTCACTGTTGTCTCTCTGGGCTTTGTTTAATTCAAATTGCACGCATGAGTGCTGACGTATAGTACAAACAGAAATTAATGAATTACTCATCATTGCAATGTTGTTGTATTACTTCCAGTTGGGGTTAATCATTTACTTGTGGATAGCATGAATGATGACGACTGTATTTGCAAAAGGTGTAGCGACTTCAATTTAGTAGGATGGTATATATTTCTGCAAACTGGTTAATTGATGACATAATTTTTCTCATATCGCATATTAATTCATTAATGCTAAAGGCTTTCAAGAAGATGATATCAAATATAACATATATTATACAAACATAATCATGCTCAGGAAATAATGATAAATTGGATTTATGATATGCAATTTAGAAGCAAATATGCATTATTTATTTATAAGTTATTCGGTATTTGTTTGCTATTGGCAAGATGATTCGGACTTTTGCAATTGTTATATGATGACAGACATTATCTAATATGTAAAAAAACTTCCACATAGAATATAGGCAATACAGCTTTAAATTCAAGTTGGTGGTTGTATTATTGTATTGTATTACGTCTCGTTAGTAGAGTCGAATATGCCCAGTATAAAATACGTCGAATAATTACATGTTACAAAGCGATCACCCTTGTTAACATTAAAATCGTTCGACATGCAGGTGACAACACAAAATTGTGAACTAACTCATTTGTGCATGGGGCGATTAACTTTAACATAAATCAAAAGCATGTGCATTTAGTGTGAATACTATATATTAAAGAATGTAAATATAGCAAGTATAATGTACAGAAAACTGATCCCACAATTTCCCTCATAGCACACACAGAAGAAATAATACCAATGTGACCTGCCTGTAAAATATGGCTGGCTAAAAGGCTTTTAATCAGATAAAAAATATTGACTATTATAGTACATGGTCCGGTTCAACAACAGTGTTCCATGAATTTTTTTTTCAGTGCACAGTACGGTATCACTATGCACACCTGCGGAGCATCTAGTTCTAAACGGACTAACAAAATCCCATAGCACATATAGATCATGAAACCATGCATGGTGAAGTGGTTATTACTCGACAACCCAGTGATCTCGCGAATTTGTCATCGTGATCTTGTTATGTTGTCTTGTTGCTTCGCGACTCGATTGAATACTAAGATCACGACGCGATAGCACTGGGTTGTCGTGAAATAGCCTCTAATTGTACACAAACATCGTCAGAAGATAAATATTATATATGTAAGAATTACAAGCAAATTAGCATTATTTATTAAAATTGCTTTCAAATTTTGCAAGACTGTGATGAACCAAACCTTTTATGCATTTTATGTTGAAGTGACGTTTATTATATTTGGGAATGCAACTTTAAAAAGTATTGAAGTATATTTTAACTGAGTTCCACAAAGAACTGTATCCACAAACAATAATGATTCATTATTTTGCTGCTTCTAAGTTTAAATTTAGAATGCTACGCGCGAGTTTTTCACTTGTTGCACAGACTTAGCGCATATACCAGCAGTGACAATATTTTGTGTCAAAATCTATCTACAATTATTTTTTATAATTATTTGTTATATGTGTTAGTCCACAGTATGTGAATATTTTCAGTTCACTGTCAATCTGTTTATTTGAGAATAACGGTAAAATATTATGCATGAAATGCTATTTTAGCAGCGGCTTCCATCGATGATTTCCTCGTTGAAAATCCACTAAAAATATTGTCAATTTTATAATAACTCCTAGACATCGAAAGGTACTATGCAAGACTCTATACATCTGTGTCCACTTAATGTCATCCAGCAAAATTTAGGGATATTGAAATATATATCCTTGTCATAGGAAACAGTGGCGAACTGCCCTAAAACAGACAAAACATACTACTTTCACTGTATTTTATTGATCGATTTTCTTTGAACTGAGTAAATACGGTGACCTCTTTTTATTTTATTTTGTCATCCTTGTTACATAATGCATCAAATATGTAAAAGTAAAGAAATTTGCATTTTTTTTTACTTTTGTGTAACATTCTACCCTAATTATAAGGTAATCTGGAGTTATACATTTATAATATATCAACATATATAGTAACGCAGTGAATGGCCATGTTGTTTGTTAACTACGTTAAATTCAGAATAGCAACTACCTAATTGACAAAATAATATGTAACAACTGTAAAGCTAATGCTGCTGCTCGTGGACCAGCTTGCATTAAAAACTTGATCATATCCATACGTGAAATGCAATTAAATAAATAGATAAATAAATTATTACACTATTTCATGTGATATGAATGTTTAATGGCGCATAACGGTGTGTGTGTGTGTAAAATAAACCCCAATTCGGAACTAGGTAACATCGTTCACAGTAGGGTGCTATAGATATTTCGGAAGTTTTTAATAACCGTAATTGTCACTTGAGGGTTTATAGTCTTCTAATGCTATATATAGAAAGTTTTATTACAACTCCAGGTGCAACGAACTCTTAAAAAGTGTATAACTAGTATCCTTGTTTACTCGGCGAACCCCACATGTCGTTCATTGTTGCGTGTAATAGCTCATTGCCCAGTCTATTCAACACAATGTTTAGTGTTAACGGACAAATAATAGAATGAATTGTGGATGATGCTTACACAGCAAATCGAGCCAATGACAGATACGTTCACTTCTATTATTACTTGTACTCGTTTTTTTCCATGGGTCTGTAGCAAGTCTGAGCGTTTCTCGAAACATACGTATTGTATTTAAATAAATAAGAATTCAAATATTCCTACATCCGACTTGTTTTGTTTTGAATTTGGACATTTCAGGGATCCGTATAGTGTATAGTGTTAAGTTTCTGAATGGTTTAGGATTTGAAACATTGTAATTGGTCTCTGTTTTTTGGGGGTATTATCTAATAAAAAAGAAAAACACAAGAACTCAAAACGATGAGCAACATAGTCTTATAAAAACAAAATCGACATTGTTAAAATTGGCTATATTATTAATATCGTTTGAAAGTAAATGATTCAGATTTTTTTCCCCGAAGTATTTAAAAAAACAATAATTATTTCAAATATTCTACCCTTCCCTATTGTCTTTTTAATTCAAAAGTTGACTATTTGGGAAAAACGAAAACATTTCTTGCTTAATAGATTTAGGCGGGAAACTGTGCTCTAACGACGTGCTTATTTAGTACATCTTTTTCTGATTAATGGTTACTAAGCAACGCAATAGGTATGACGAGTAGTATGAACTCAGCGGTATCAGTCCCGTACCAGGCAAAGTAAAACTTATACTGCAGTGTCGAGTAAGAAGACTATGTACTAAGTAAACACATAACGCGGTCAGTTGAATATCACTAAGAAACATAAGTAAATAACATCGCTATATATAATATTACTAATGTAGCATTTTCAATTTCGTTGCTCTACGAATGAATATCAAGTGTTGTTCCCTCTTCGACGCCCTATGGTCTCCCTCACTCATACACTGGTAGACTCCTACTTTGAAATCTATGGGTTTCTTTATTCACCGTATTAACCTGATTTGACCTGAACGTTATATTTGCATGTGTGTATGCAAATATATTTGAACTTTGAATTATCAGTAACCACTTGAATTACTATGACAACGCCTTTATTTCAACGAATGTGTTAAGATTTTGCATATAAATAAAAAAAAAATTGCGTCCCCCATAAGTTATTTCGGGGGAGGTGTGTCTGCTAAATATTGTTTACAGGTTGTTATCTGTAGCAACAGTTGCATGTTTTAGGGATAACTTCCCCTATCATGCTCAGTACTGCTGCGCGTTTATCTTAGGGCTTTGCTACATTTTCGCTGCTTTTTTACAAATCGACCGGTAAGTGTTCATTTAAAATCTCAATATAAAAGATTATTTGTACATGATGTTTTAATAATGGACCAAATTTATATCAATAAATACTGTGTAGTTGTATATGAATAATGCTAAAATATTGATTAATATCAATTCATTTTAGGTGTCAACAATCTTGTTAATGTCATACAATTGGCGACCTTTATTCCAAATAAAATATGCAAAAACCTTGCTAAATTAACTCACTACTAAGTACATTGTATCTAGTTGATCCTGAATCAGATTCATGTATATTCTGTAAGTAAAGTATTGTTAACATTTGGGTATAATTTCCAGCGACAACAGAATCCGCACATGGTATGAGTCTGCCATTTCTTTTCTGACAGTTGACCTGGCGTGATCTTTGCATGTCTTGCCAATACATTTATTCTATGTTTATGTACACACAGGTTATGTGCGTTTTGTTTCAAAAGTAAAGATTTTGTCATCACACAAAGCTTTATCTATTGTTAATGAATTTTTTAAATTTAATTTAGTATAATATAATTTAATAAAATATAATTATAATGTCAGTTCAACTCGCAGTCAAGTTAATCATTAACTGGTTATTTTAATCTACAGGTTACTGGGTGACAGGTGCTGACGATTCTACAGGTAGACGATGAGGGCGCCCTGTTTGTTGGGCCTTCTCTTCCTGTCGCAAGTTGTGTTAACTATCTGCGAAGACGATACTCTGACCTACTTGGATTCAAAACTTTCGTACACTGAGTATCAGCCATCATGGCCGACGACGGAAACACAGAACATACTTTTCGAGTTTAGGACTTTTTCGTCGAATGCGTTGTTGATGTACAACCAGTATAACAATGACGAGTTTGCACAGACGCCATACGCTATGGGGATTGTTTTGAAGAATGGACGAATCCAAGCACTGCATATATATGACTCATTATTTGACATGTAAGCAAACATCCTTTTCTATAAGTCGCATCCTCTAGCGACGACGCATTCTGTGACGTCACAATGACTTATGTGTAAAAGCAATGTTGTAGAACATTTTTCCATTTTAGGCCAGACTTTTATTATCCCTTGTTTCGCGAACCCGCCGAATGAACAGGAGCCGAAAATGAAATAAAAATAAAATTTTATTTCAGCGTAATTTCTCGCACCCGCCGACTTGTAAGTGCAAAAAAGTGCCAAAAAACCTTTTTTATCTTCATTTTTTTCCGCCCGCCGCATAACAAACCCGAATTGCATTTCCGTGGGAGTATCATGATCAAAGTACCGAAGTCTCGCGCAGATGAGAAACAAGGTTATACATGGAATAAAATTTTATTTCATTTCTTCTCTCCGACCAATGACCTCATTTACAATTCTTTGAGAATCACACAAATCTAATGGGAGAAACAGAGAATAAAAAAGTCTGGCCTTATTTTCACCAAAAAACAACATTGTGCTATTGAAAAAGAAACGTTGTATTGACAGCCAATATATTTAGTATTCGTTTATAATAAAAACGCAGCCTCGCTTTGCTACAAATTACATGTAAATCATGGCGCATTTGTATTTGCATATTCATTATTTTATCGAACAAATACTCAGGCTGCTCTGTTTGTAGTCAAAACAACTTTTTCTTTTTTTTGCGGTAAATCGTAATATATCAAGATAAAATATCAAACAAATTCTCGACAATTCAATCTGAATTCAATTAAAAATTGAAAGACTAACTGAAAGACTAATTACGTAAATTTGACCGAGAAAGGGGTTCAATTCTCGAGTAATTAACAAAAGGTCACTTGTTTGCACAGAAATTACCCATATGAGTGACAGGAATATCGCGACAGATAAATTTGTTGCGTATACGTATGACGTTTATAATACAGTGAATCTAGTCGTATATTCTAAAATAATAATCATCTAATAACTGCAAGTGAATTACCGAAGTCTTTACGCTAGTAGTAATACACGATTTTAAAGTCCACACTTCACACCTTCTGATTTGTTCCCTATTTACTTCGGGGTTTTGTATTACTTTCCTGAATACTGTAGATGCAGCCAATGTGCTAGACTGGCAAATTCGGGACTTCTTTTTTGTTTTACAAACAAAAAATATAATTAATTCTCAATGTAGCCTTTTTTAAACGTGATCGCGAACTAGTGTGACTGTGAAAGAAATTAGCGGACAGATTAGTTGTCACGATCACGCTAAGAGGACTAAAAGAACAATTAATTATTTCTTTTTGTAAAACAAAAAAGAGTCCCGACTTTGCCAGTCTACCAATGTGCATGCAACTCGTAGAGTAGTTAATCCACACTTCTCGTTTTACTTCCGGGGTATTTATTACTTCCCAAGATACAGTTGATATCCCATGTGTGTGCAACTCCTTCTCAATTGTTGGTTCTTTTACTCAAAGGGTATTTATTGTGTGTATAACTCGGGAGTGGTTAATCTATCTTAATCCTTCTGATTTGTTGACTGTTTTAAATTACTCCAGGTATATGTATTACCTCTCTGGATAACGGTTGATGTAGCTATTGTGCGCGTAACTCAGAGAGTGTTCAATTCTATTTCTTGGGCGTCATGGGAACAGAATTTATTTTCCTCCTAATCTTATTTATGTAAACCGACATTTCAAATTTACATACACGTTCATAGATGGATATACGGAAGGGCACTTATCTCCAATGATGTTATTATCGAGTTTCGTTGTAACATTCGTAGTCTTATTAAAACAGTGATATGTAAATTGCATGTATGACAACTCACTTATTATTAACATTGCAGAATCACGCTCGGTAAAGGTATGAATGATAATTCGTGGCATAATGTATCTTTAACAAAATCGGTGAATGGTACCCTCACTTTGACTGTTGGCAGAGAATCTCAGACATTGCAGTTACAATCATACGCCCTCAACGATACTCAGGACGAGATGACGTCAAATATAACGTCAGTTTACGCTGGAGGTAAGACATATTTAACAAGTATCAGTCTGTAGATGACCATCATACGTATTACATGACGTTATTTGAAAATGTGTAAACAATTTTGTTTTATAACTGTATCTGCCAAAAAACATGGTATGATTTATTGTAAAATAAAAACATAGCAGTGATCGTTTGTAATAATAAAAACGCTGCTGCGCGTGCGCCATGAATTGCATGATGCGGTTTTTATTATCTCATCGATCTGATAAACAGTTTGTTTCCTATCAAAATATTTATATCGAACTTATCCATGTAGAGAAAATAACTAACCAAGTACATTTGATCGAGAACTTGAAAGGGCTTGAATCCTAGGCGCACGTGTGGGATTAATATTGATAAACAGTGATACTCCCGCCAACACAATTCCGAGTTTTGATCTGGTCGCTATGTGCAATAACCGACTTTAAATTATAAGAGTCATTCAATGCGTTCCAATCATTCCACCAATTGGTTATTTTTTTATCTAATCTTCTGAAGGAAATATATGACCCATATTTCGAGACAATGAACAGGCTTTAGTTTATTTGGTTACAGCATACAGGAATATAGTCAGGTTATCAACGTTTATGGAAATCACATATTTCAATACACTGTTCTTTAATCATAGGATTGCCTGCAGATCTAAACGATTTCATCGGTTTTCGCGGCGAACACTTCTTGGGCTGTATACGCAACGTCAAATTTCCCGATTCTAATGGTTTGAATGAAAATATCACATATACGACAACAGGTGAGTGTTATCATAATTATGGAAATTATAAACAGATTGGCGTTGACATATGTATCAGGGTGTGAAGTACATGATCTGATTACCAAGATATATACCTCTTTTCGTGGAGGTCGAGTCTTAAAGAAAAACTTAAGTAGTACATGTGTAGTATATGCCATAATTTTGCAGTATTGGCCAGGGAATCTGTATAATAGCTTATTCTAACTTAACCATTCCGAACATGGAACATGTACAACGGTTCAACAACTATCGTTTTACAAATCGGAATATAATTCTAAATTGTCCGAGTCCACTTGCACAACGCCCAAAGGTTGTTTGATGATTGTTTAATTTTGATTACTGCACTTGAACTACCTACCAACTATCTACTCGATTGTTATTTTAGAGAAGGCACCAATTCATGATCAGAATATCGTCATCATTCTCAAATGACCAACAAATACCTTGAAGGGCGGTGGTCGTCGTTGCACCACGAATGCGCGAGATATGGGTCTCATATAAACACAGATGGCGACTTTGAATGTTGCATAGACCAACGAGTACAAACCGAGAGGTTAAGTTTTAATTAGGTTGGTGACTGGAAGATGTCGAAGGAGTCGCCGGCGGTAATAATGCAAGTAGTAACACAACTCGTACTCTTGACTTTTTTAGAAATGCGACGACCATCGCCCTTTAAGTATTACTTAGACAAAAAAGGAGACTAGTGAGATAAATGTCTGACTAATGAAAGAGAATGGGTTACCAAATGCAACCACGAGATGAACTTATGATATTGGTCCCTTTTATAGAAATAGGTTATCATAGCGATTTGTATTGCTAAAATATCGATATTTATCTGAATAATTGTCCGCTGTCTTGCCTACATGATAATATGCCAATGATTCACACTCTAACAACGACATTCCTAAATGAACTCAAACCAACATTTCGTCGAATGGCGTTGTAATCGAACTAAAATATTCGTAATTATTCGTAATTTTCAAGGAAAATGATTTCTAATTTGTTCACAGTTCATCGTTTTAGTGTTTATGACTTTCAACACTCACCACTATTAGTTTTAATCTTTAAATACATTTTCTTTCGCTATTAAACAGAACTGTTCTGTGATTTATGTAATTGATCCTCCTCTTGAGAAAAAATAGGTACAATGCCCAAGGTTCAGTGTGAATTAACGCGAGGTTAAATGCTTCCGGCGTAGATAGTTTGCTGCACCGTGTTATTGTAAGCAGGTATGCTTTCAGAAGAGAAATCATTAGTTTATTGTCGAGAGGTAATCGCATCAACTAAACATTGTTCACCGGTGACATGCGCTTTGAACCTCGCAAACGGTTCTTCATTTACGTGGTTAGAAAAAGCATAAGAGTATCACGTTTTCTGTCGTATCAAAATTAGGATGTTACATGTGTATATTGTCGGAAAATAGTCAACGTCAACCAAACACTGACACATGCTTACTGATCCACGCAAACGGTGCTTCAATTACGTGTCTAGAGAAAGCACAGCCATGCATGATGATATTACCGCCTGCCGTAAAGTTGGGATCTCACATTCATGAAGCCTATGGCTGGACTTAGCGCTATTATGAAGTCGTTAAACACCACTTAGCAGAAGATTGATAGGGACTTATACGCATGAGTAATCACGTGAATAGTCCCCATTCATATTTTAACATAAATGTTTACTAAATGAAGATAGTGTCATTCACTGATGGTTCTACAGGCAAAGAACACAATGCGCCTTTTCTTACTGAGATTTCTCGTATTACGGCATTTAATGTAGATGCCCTCAAAGAACACGCTGCCTTTGTATTTGATCAAGTTGAAACCGGTAGAGGGCGACATGCCTCTGTGACGATTTCCCGATGGACGCACATATGTGCGTATTTTGTGGGTTGCAGTCTCTTCTAAATTCACTGCCGTATTTTTCACAATCATAATGTTACTTTCCTGTATTGAATATATTTCATATACACAACCTTAAATACAGTGCAACGTTATGTCACTTTTATGCATTCTTTTTAAATTGTGGCCAAATATTTATATATTTACTCATTGCTACAAATCATAATTGAAAAAAAATATAATAATGATTATTATTGAAATCGATAATATATATTTGTCTTTACTTTAAAGTAACTTTCATTTTTGTTTTATCACAGTATTAACAACTCCCGGATGTATTGATAAGTGCGATACAGAAAATAGCTGCGTGAATGGCAAGTGTATCAATCACTATGATGGCGTAAAATGTGACTGCTACAACAGTGGATTTGAGGGGAAATATTGCGAAATTGAAGGTGAGTGGCGATACGCCCTCTACGACTGGGCTACTAATAATGTCACGATTGCAAAATCTTACTAAAAATATAACTCACCTAACCTTATGAGAAGGTCTCGGTAGTTCTGCGCGAAAAACCTAAATGCGGATCTCAAACCCCCAAAAGTGTTACTGCCTTATTTGAATTTCACAGTTACAAATATGATATCGTTATTCTATTTTTTGTTTACGTAATTGCTTATAACTAATTACGACCATGGTGTTATGTGACGTCACACATCATAGAAACTTTGTCAGATAGCAAATGTTTTGGAAAATATATTTTATCACACTTTGTACGCAATGAATTATTAGTTATGTGTTTTTCCAAAAAATGTACCACGTTCTCATATTTTATCTCTGTATTTGTATTTTTCGATTTATTTTAATTTTATTTTTTTACAGAGGTGACTGAATTAACTTACCAGGGATTTAATTTCATCGAATACCGTATTTTTAATAGCTCTGCTCGACAGCATAAGTCATCAACTCGGATCAGTCTAGAATTTAAGGTACATAGTAAAAATCATTAAATAACAAAAAGTTTGAACACCATGGTATTATTCAAAATTTGTATATATATTGGTATATAGGATCACTAGTATGTCGTATACGGGGCTCACGTGGCTGTATTAGTTTCATCTGATTTACAACTTTATCTCAAGTTTAGACCTTTTTTCCGAAGACCAATTCTAATGCTCCGCAGCTTAATTTGAGAGTTTTCTAGGCAATCTGGCGGAAAATACAATAAATGCATAAACCAATGCAATATGTATCTCATCATATCTAGAGATGTCATTGTAGACATTTTCCTTACACAAAAGGAATATATTATGAAGGTCACACACAAAACGAAATATAAATTGTGTCATCCTGAGTTGAGAAAGTGTTTCTTCAATACTAGTATATATATATATATATATATTTCAAGATGTTTTACGTGCTGTATGTCATAATACCTAAAATATACTTCTCTCATTAGTTTAAAATTGAAAAAAAACTACTACTCCAATCATATAAACTTGTGGAACAAATTTCCTTCTTCCATTAAAATCTCGACTTTTCTTAATTTGTAACAATTATTTTCTTGAATTCAAGTTGATGATATTTGATCATTGTCAACGGTTTGTTGAGGCATTAATCTGTAATTGTATGTCTATACACTTATATGACAACGCATATACACATTTCAGTACTTACTCACCTTCTATACTTGCCCAGTGAGGAGATTCTGAATGTCTTTTAAATACACTTGTATTTCAGGTAGAAACAGAAGATCAGGACGCTGCTATATTGTTCTACGGGTTAGGGGTATTCCCCCTACGTAATTATTTGGCGATAAGCCTGTATGCTGGCACAGTTAACGTTACTGCCGACTTTGGGGACGGACCTTACTATCTCAGTGGTGGATCCAATGTCAAGAACAAGTATGTACATTATATTATAGGATGGCAGATTATTTGCACAGCTCTATTTTGACTATTTTTTATAGTCACATACAATGTTTTATTTTATTTAAGACCAGCAGTCAACAAACTGACGCAACTTGATTTTGAGAGATTCCATTTCGACTTCTACAAAATCAGTTCTGTTTGAGGGCACACTGTACATCTGTTCACAACATGTAGACGATAGACACCGTGTCATGTGATGTAGTGTATTTTAAACCAATAGAATAGATGCGTTTTCGCACAGCTGTTGCTAAGAAAACTTACGCTTATTACGAGCCAATAAACCGCAAGTATGAGCTAAATCTGACCTGCTTTTAAGACCCGGTCTAGTCTCTTAGCATGGGCCACGAAAATTCGTGCTTACGGTTATTTACTGAGGAAGGACTAAGCGCTCCCGGGGGTCACGGTTACTCAAAAATTACTCCAATAAGCTCCCGAATCGCATACAACCGTCATAAGTACGCACAGTAGTATACTAAAAATTGATTTGGTAATATGTTCTATAATATACTAATGTATTTTAAAATAGTGACATAGGGGTTATAATTTTCGTCAATTTTTCCTCCGGGACCCAGGCATACTTTCATGACAACAGTGAAAACGATAAATGACGATTCCCGATTCTGAATGTTATTACAGCCACAAAGAGTACTCATCCGAAATGCACACAAAGTCCTTCGTAGAGCTTGTGCACTAAGCGTGGATATTCTATCAAAAACTAGCTGAAAATTTCAAATTCGCGGGACATCAAGTGTTCGACACAAGAAAGAAACAAAATGGTGGGCCTTGAAATCTCAAGCGATAGAGGGCGTACATAGCGCGACACACATCCTTGGGGGATTAGGCAGATTCACACCTATTAACAATAGCGTTTCCTAACCTTCTTTTTTATTAACCGTGCTGGGATGGATCAAAGTGGCAGCAAAGTTATTATATTGCATTCGTTGTTTGTTTGAAAGATTATCTATTATATTTATAATCATTCATATCGGTAAATCATTTTTGCAATGACAAATAACGTCAGTCGGTGTATGCAGAGATAGTGTTCTTTTAAAAAAACGATGATATATACTTTGTACTACTTCTTGTTATTCTGCAATTTGCACTTTCTGAACTTGCATTGTCGTTATTTCATAAACATTAAGCTGAAATATATACCTCTCTTAGTCCGTACTAAGTGCTGGCCCCCGTTGTTGATACAATTGGTCTAGCCGATATTTAAACATATGAGATTAGCCTCAATCTTAACCCGTATTAGGTGTAGCGTCTAATGTGATGGTTACGATAACGTCATTGACACTAGTTCTCGTATCAGTAAGTCAACAATGCAAAATAGCGTGCAGATACCATGTGAGACTTTTATCAATATGGATTTCTCCGTTTTAACCCTATGACGCTTGACCATTGAACGCTAAAATCAACTTGTGTCGCCATTCACAAAAATCAACATGTATAATATTGTTACATCAAATGTTGACCAAAATAGATGTACATCATTATACTAATGTTGTACATCTTATCTAAAAATAAGTTAGTTGGCCGGTATTGTGATCTATTAAATTGTATCACTATATTTTGTTTGAAAAATGCTACTAAATTATAGATGTGGACTTTAAATATGCCTTTGCCTTGTGAGTATTTTCACCTGGTACATTTCATGGTTTTAGGGAAAATCGAGTGACAAAATGCCAGTATTCCCCAGAAGTTTCTAACAATTCATGGTATTCAGAAATATTCAACCTATAACAAAATACTATTTTGATGTGTTACCAAAAATACTTTCAGATATGTACAAACTAATGTAAAATGGCTGAAACATCGCCATTTTAAAGCTTTTTACACGTTTACACAAAAAGCGGTTCAGCGACCATATGTTTTATTGGTTTTTATGTGAGGTTTGTATAAAATAAATCCTAAAGGTAAAAATTATTGAATCTGAACATCAGTTCTTATAACCGCGAACGGTATTAACAAATAAAATATTGAGAAAATACACACAAATATAAAAAGCTTGCACCAATATTGGTTGGAAAACATGGTGCTTACTGTTACTATTGCTTCTTTATTAAATGAGGACAACAGATTTGACTTGAATGACACAAGACATTATTTCATATTGTTAGTTTTCGAAAATTGCAGTGTGGTGCTAGAGCAATATCTCTAATCTTCATACATAACCTTTAATTCACCGCCATATAGACCGCTTCACTGTGACGTCATATGTTTACATTGTTGCCAACCAGTACGCGAATGTCTGATAACAAATGTCGCTCAATGATCAGAACTAGCTCACGAGTTGTTATGGCAACGCTGTCCCAAAGTTGTACATTGCCAGGAATGCATATAATAGAATAGCAGCAAATAGCGAACGTGAACGTAAATAGTTGCGACGGTCTGTAGTAATCATATTATTTTATGGGCTGACGTACCGTTTTTGTTTATACATTAAATTATAGATGGCGCTCGCTAACGGTAACGCATAGCGGTCGATCATTGACCATGGAAGTGGATAATGAGATGAATGAAGTTGAAATAACGGGTGACCACTATCACCTGCAGCTTGATCCGTTGGTGTATTACGGAGGTGGACCGAATCTGGCAGGAAGTCCTGGTTAGTTATTTTAACTGAGACTTGGAACCTTATTCTAGAAATTTTAAGTATTCTTTCTCCTTTGAAAATCCGGATTTTGCGGCAGACGCTCGGTCCGCGCCTTTAATGCAATGTGCGATATCTCGCAGTTGAACGGAAAATCACTTATTATGTAATGGTTTCATTTCAGGGCTTCCAACTGGTCGTAACTTCGTAGGATGCATGAGAAGTGTTTATTACAACATGGACAATCTGAATGAACAACTAAAAAAGGATGACGCAAGAATTCGCCACGTTGGCGCTGAACCAATTTATGGATGCAACGCAATTGAGTTCACTCCGTTGACTTTCCCAACCTTTAATTCACAGTTATTTTTAGATCTTTGGCAGGAAAACGAAGATTTATCTTTGAGGTAGGTTGTTTGTAGGTCATTCCTGCATGGCGGGGATCAAGAATAGGCCTTGGATGCAAATGGCCGCCATGATTTCGCGAGAGTGAGAAATCCACGAGATTTGTTTTTCTCACTCGTAAACGCAATCTCCCACGCAGAGTTCTATTTCTATAAATATAATATCTCTACCACCACCGTGACGCGATATTATGCTCGCCGTTGATTGGTCGATGTGTCACAGTGGTACTACTTTCAAAGACATGCAGGGTGTTAGATTTTCGAACCCGACGAAAGCGTACACGATTTTTGTAGATTCTGGTTGTTTTTAAAGTGAGAAGCTCATTTATCTTTATTTTCCGTTACGCAAACAGGGTGACAATAGGACGAGTTAGCTTGAAAACTGCGTGATCTGTTCTGCTTAGGTCGCAATTAAAAAAAAACACTCTACTGTATTTTGATACAAGATATCTAATTGCTGTTTATTTTTGTCACACATCCCCCTTTGTCGTTAAGAGAGCCTATTAAATACACACTGTAGTGGTTCAATCTTCCAGGTTAGTTTGGAGGGGTGACCTGAAACAAACGTTCCTTGGCTGGCGAAGATGTGATCGAATGGTCATTAGTGAATGACTTGTTTGTTTGTTCGTGGTATTATAATGCTACACATTTCGTAGAAATAGAACTCTGCGTGGGAGATTGGGCCACTGGCTGCAGGTCGGCGTCCTCTCTACACCGATCTGACACATATCCAGTCGCGAAAGGACATCAATAAAAGTCAGTTGATGAGCATTTGGGAGTGCACCGATCGAATTCTGTAGTGAATGACTTGTTTGTTTGTTCATGGTATTGTGATGCATATATAAACATATAGACATATATAAATACTCATTTCATTTCTTACAGTTTTGAATTCCGCACCCAGCAAAGGAACGCCCTAGTCATGGTGACTGTTCTCAATATTAGAAACACTACCAGTTATGCCGGGACACTAAAAGTAAGTGAATACCTACATTTAATTTCCAGATTAATTTTGAAAAATCTCTTGATGTTCAGATTTTTTTTATTAATGATGATATGACAGTTAGTTTTTATTTAGTCTTTAGTGGTACATAATATCATAATCATTAATTTGACGAGTGTCTACAATCGCTGCTAAACAAACATCAGGTCGTTTATTTACCTCAAATACTTTGTCTTATTCTTTTTGACAAACATTTCAGCACCGAATTGAAGTTTTTCTCCACAAACTGAATGAGCGTCTTTCCATATACCAATAAATATATATTTATATACATTATATAATAAATTACAATTTCAGATGATCGAATTCTCGAAATTGAAAACTACCGTAACCACGTTTATGCTGAGAACTTATGACGTATCAGTGTTTGTCACAAACATTCTGAGTGGCATAGTCGACGCCAATGAGAGTTTTCAAATATATTGAATACATTATTGCGCGATGTTAACAATCTAACAAGAAAAACGAAAAATATAAATCTAGTAAACAATTAAAAACACAAAAGTCACATTCAATCTGAGATGATATTAACATTGCGTGTTGTTTTACTTTACAGCTTAAATTAGCTGAAGGTAGAATGGAGGTACACTTGGATATATCGGTCAACAAGAAAAATGACACAGTATCATATTGGACATTTTCTGGGCATAATCTGAATGATGGCAAGTGGCATTTATGCGATTTAAGGATGACTTTGGCCGATGGGTGAGTAAGAGATATTATTCACTGAGATGTATACGCATCAACTAAAACTCTGCGCTACACGTTATATAGAGTATTCGGCGAGAATATCACCACTGACATTCTGTTTGATACTCTGATGTCTCGTGGTCAAGAATACTCACTTACACAAATATGAATTGTAAATCAAAATATCATTTTTAGCGTTATTTATGTTTGGAAATTCATCTTGAAAAATAAACAATATATTATGATTTATCTTAAAATGAAACGCCAGTGTGTATGTGCTTCCAATTATCTTCGTACAGGTAAATCCGAAGCGCATGCGCATTTGCGTTGTTCATTTCGTTTTTGAACGGTTACCTCATATTTTTATTCCAAGATAAACCATCATGTTCATGGACGACTATTTGAAAATGAACAAACATTTTATGTAAACTATATTGAACAAATTAGGAACTATATTATCAGCGTCGGTCATTTTTTTCAGTATTGTAACAATGCGTCTAGATAACGATGAAGTGTATGTTGTTAGCAACCGAAAGAAAGTTATCCAGTTAGGTGGATTTCAACCAGCTACCGACATATTACTTGGAGCTGGACTGCACAACCAAGAACGAGGTATTGTAATTTGTATCATTCCGCTCTTAAAGAAAATGTCAATATAATGCTCCCAGATGAAAGAGCTCTGCAAATAATCCCTTGCTGGAGAATCAAGATGGCGGAGTACATAAAACTTATGAAAAGTCAATATCTAGAGAATGAAAAGTGATATAACAAACTGTATATTGCATTCTCCTACATATGTGGAGCTCATCCATCTGGGGGAATTATATGTTGTTTGACTCTTTAAATGTGATATTTCAATCAATATTTTGTAATTTTTGTATTATTGCCATTTCCGATTCCTTCAAGTTGAAAACCACTCACTCGAGTAAAACAGAATAGAAGTAAAACAGTTGAAGTAATTTTGTTTTTAAATACCACGTGTACCATATTTTGTCCTGTAGGTTTCGTTGGATGTATTCGTCGAATAGTATTACAATATATACATATCAATCCATTGGATACAATAACCAGCGGTGCGGCCAATGGTTTATTACTTGATGGGTGTGACATGAAAGACATTTGTGCCATTAATAACATATGTGAACATGATGGGTACTGTGTCCAAGATTGGTATGAGACGTTGTGTGACTGTGAAGGCACTGGATATAATGGAACTGTCTGTCATTTTCGTGAGTATTAATGATGAATATTGTTTGTAGATCACGTGATCAAGCCGAGCTCATATTGCTATAGTTTATCGAGCAGAATTTCGCACTACTAAGAATGTTACTGCTTGTGCAAGGCATTGTGGGCGAGAATTTACTATTGTATATAATGACAACTATTATTAATTATCACACTGGAAGGTGACCAAATTAAATAAAAATACATTTTTAAGGTCTATGGCTGTGTTCTTGACGCGTGCGGTTACCGTCTCGTGCATGCAAATAAGCAGAACTACTGTAACTTTTTCAGGATTTCAAACTAAATATTCAGCTAATACTCAGTGGTGCACTAGATATAGATTTGGGAACGATTTTGGTGAATAATACTCGACTGGCTGCAAATGAGACTGAATTTATTTACTTTATTAAGTTCGTAAATAGGTGTACAAGTATACAATTACCTTCTTCTTTGTAATGAACAACGTTTATTTTTCTAAACAGCGCTATATCGTCGTTCCTGTGAGGAGTACTACCACATGGGTAAGCATCGCAGCGGTGTTTGGCGTATAGATCCCGATGGTGTAGGACCAATACCACCAACATACGTGCACTGTGACATGCACGGCGACCTTGGGTAAGAATTTTGAACCGTTACAGCACCTGTTACTTATAAAATAGAAAGTATGTTATAGCTCGTTTTATGCCGAATAATATATTTTATGTTTAAAATCACAGGGGAGGTTTTTCGTCCACTATGACAATTGACCATAACCTTGCCGCCTCAACTCTAGTTAGACAAGACAAATTTAGAGATCTGAAGAAGGTTCTGACGTACCGTGGAGCTGACGAAGAGAGCTTAGTATATTTTGTGAAGCATTCAATCAATTGTAGCCAGACCATCACATACGAGTGTTACAAATCCCCCCTCAAGTAAGTATTAAACGCATTTTTGTATTATTATTTAAGTTGATCGATATGTAGATATGTAGACGAATGCGTTATTGAATTCTTTACAATGCACTTGATGCAATTCATGCGACGAGTATAATGTAGTTGCCATTTAAACTAGCCGTACGCAATGCATAATTATCAATGATTGGGGTAAGGAGTGAATATATCTCATGCTCTTTTTTATCTTATTCGACATTAATTCTTTAATAAAGCAAAATAGATAGTGTTGACTACTTTAGATGTGTTTAAATAATGTTGTTTGATATTGCGTCTTCATAAAATAAATATAGAAAACATGGTTAGTACTTTCAAACTTCGACATAATTTTAGTCGTGCTACTGTTTTTTTTTTGTCATTTGTATCTAAGGTTGTTTTTTTATAATTCTAGTCTTTGGGATCAAACACGGTTTTTATCAGCAGGAGGACTAATGTTCAATGAAGTTGAATTCTCGGAAAACTGTGTCTCGAATATCGATAAGTAAGTAGCTACAACATATATGTGCAGTAAAACTATAACTACTAGATCCAAGTATTGCATCACTATTTGAATGTCATGGGGTCATATAATAACATTGATCATTTTGTAATTCTATCATGGTTGCACTTTTATTGAGACATTAGTTCACAATAGTATTTGTTGTTTTGATGTTTCGGGGACTACTTTCTTGTAGTTAGAATATGTACTGTGATGTTGTTATGTGTCACCTGATCAACTGATGTACTGATCTAGAAAAAGTAGTGCCATTGGTATAGCTTAAAATAAACAAACGTGAAGGTGTCTTATGTTTCGCTGGTTCCTAGTAGTCGTCTATCAACGAAGATTTCACTTTATTCTAGACCAAATAACATAACAGTGTTCGATTTGAACGACATACGCCACTGTGACGTTACAGAAGCGTTCCACCACTAGAGGGAGCTATTTATAAAAATGGTATGTCTGATTTAGAATCAAAACATTTATAACAAGTATAAGATTATATTCGGTATCCTATTATACACATCTTGTTTCAGATGGCAGCAGGACGAAGCTATTGTGACCAAAGATACGTATCTTCCTATAACAGAAATGATCTTTATGCAACAACTCAATTCAGCATCTACTAAAGCAAAAGTGTCACTTTCCTCATTAAAGTGCAGCGGATCTAGTTAGTAAAATGTTCTTATCAATATATTCTACAAACGATATGCATTTTTACCGAAAATGAACCCTTTCGGGGTGATGTGATAAGTACGTAATTAAATATAAATGGTCGATTGACACAACTACCTCCAATATCTACATTCAAGACCCATAGGCAGTTGAATCGTGTTATCTCATATTAATTTACGTACGGTTTTTATTTCACGCCATATCGTTTCTGCGTACGTGCTTGCTATATAAGTTGTGCCCTCAAGCGCTTATTTTACGTCAATATGACTTAGGTGGATGTAATTGTCATCCTAATCAACAACAACAATAACAACTGTGTTTTGTTTGGATGCTGTTTGTTATACAGAACACAGTAAATTTCTTGTTGACGGACGACTGCAGCCAAACATATCGGTATTATGAAAGACCTTTTCTGTCCTATTAACGTCACACAAATTATTCGTCGCTAGCGTGTGCGACTTATAGAAAGGTGTGTTATGAGTATGTGTACTACCTTCTATTTTTCAGATATTTACGATCCTAAATACGCAGTTACATTTAGAACGGACAACGGATTTTTAATGCTGGATGCTTGGGACCATGGAGATATCAGTTTTAATTTCAGGACTTTAGAAAACAATGCTGTCTTACTTTTTCAACAACCGTCAAGGCAGTCGACGGAGCAACTTCTAATCGAGCTTATTGATGGTACGTTATAAGTTCTGACAATATTATGGAAACGACGCGTGGGAGCAAATACATTGTTATATTCAAGTCATTTTTTGTAAGTAAATTGTTTGTGACGTATTGCCTATTTTATTTACAGGTTCATCAGTGGATTTCACCTTTGACACCGGCTCACGAGAAGCTAACCTGACTGTTCCAACTCTACCTCTCAATGATGGCAATTGGCATAAAATATGGATTGAATATGATGCATATCATGTTCGATTTACCGTGGATATGATAAGTACATGGTTTCAATTAATGGAAGGGGAAATCTTTGGACCATTTGGTGGACCTCTATTCATTGGTGGCATGGGCGGGTATGTATTATAATGTACAAGTATTATGGCCCACTCGTTCTCAACGAGATCTCGGTAAAACATGTGCTTCTTAAGAGCCTCGCACTTTCCTGGTTGCTAACGCTTCAACACCTCAACTCGTTGAGTCAATGATCTGCGTCAGATAGATCGGCTGTATTCGCGTTACGTTCATGTTCCTAACCACTTGGAATCTACCTGTATTAAAGTTACGATATGATTCACTGAAATAAGTAATTGTCGATTATACATCCACAATACTATTCTATTCTAAAGCTGTCCTGAAGCTAATACAGTTTCTACCACTCTTTGGGAGCATTTTAGAATTTAATAACTTGTATAAATATATTGTGATACACTTAGTATTGAGTGATTTCTGTGTTCCATTACAGTGGATATTTTAGAATAACACCAGGATTTATCGGATGCATTCGTGGTTTGAGCATCAATGAAGAAATAATACCTTTACAGGACTACATTACCAATGATAACAGGTAGCGATTATGTAACATGCGATTAGTTAACAAAAAGATATATAACAAGAATTATCGACCCCCAAGTGGCTTTTATTTGCCGAAGCCGAATTTTATGACATCAGAGGCCAGTAACACAGAACATTACGTCAGAGGCACGAAATACAATGGGAGAGGCCAATATTAATAATTATCGAACGATCATGTGACCATGTTTGGCCAATAAGATTGACTGTCTCATACTGGAGGGATAATAGTGTCAAATATTCATATATGCAAAGTGTTTTATGAAATTGAATTGTCATTTTGTTAGCGTATGTCTACATCGCATTTATAACCATTTTAACTAGTTGCGTTAAACATATAAAGCAATGACATCTACCTCAATACGATGTATGCCTCCTTGCACTGTTGTACACCCGATATTTTATTTCATAATGCTAATATTCTGTTGTGTTTGACCAAGCAGTTCAGCGGGAATCGAAGCAGGATGCCATCGATCATGTGATCCAAACCCATGTGTCAACGGCGGTTTGTGTTCAGAGATGTGGGGGTCATACATATGTATGTGTGCAGATATATCACATCGTGGTCAAAACTGTGAAGAAAGTAAGTAGACAATCATTCAGTTCATTTTAAACATTTCCCAAGGTATCGTAGATTACAGAGGAGTATCTAGCCGTTTTTTTCCTTGGCATATGTCAACTGAAGACAGCATTCCTTGGAAAACTACAACTGGAAGCAGCTTCGCCTGGGAAATTACTTGCCAAATTGATTTGGTATTTTTTGGGGGTAAAGCTTTGTCAATTTTGTGTGTATGGTACTATGTGTGCTGAGATCCGCATCTCCTTTACTTATGTTTTGTCGGTAACCGTTTGTTGGTTTATTCTTTTTGTGTCTTCTTAAGCTATTAATTGACACATATTTATTGTTGGTATGTTCTTATGAACTATTACTATACCTATTCCAACAATGTAGATTTTTTGCAAAGTTCAATTGAGTGGCTGTACGCTTTGGCCTCAAATCCCGACTATCTGGAACATGCACATAGTTAATTTTTGTATTTTATTCGTGCAATCATTTTCTTATCAATATTTTGTTTGACATCAGCTATACCTACTTACAGCATGGGAACTTATTGTATTTTGACCACTACCAATATTACTTTGTTTTGTTTTGGATTGTCGACATCTAAGATTATGGAATCTCGGAATTTCATGAAAATAATTTAAACGAATAATAAATAATTATGTTTTTGCCTCATTCCAAAGATTATTTAGACGACATGGTAACTTTTCCTAATAAGGAAACTATTATGAAGATAGATGCTGTAGACGATTCTTCACTGACATCGGACATAAGATTTGAATTTAGAACAAGGCAATGGGATTTGCTAATATTATACGCCAATGACTATCTTGGTAACTTTATTCAGCTGTCCTTCCTTAGAGGCAATAGACTGCAATTGAAGTTTAATTCCGACCAGAGTATCAATGTTTTACAGATTTTTACAGAGCAAGGTAAGTTCTCGCTGATCATGTGAATTGTTTTAATGAACAAGAACAACAAAATGGCAGATAGTTGTGGTGTATTGTGTTACAACCAACCACGAACAAGGACAACAAATGGCGGGTAATGATGACGTAATCAGACAAAAGTACCACGTGACAGACACCCGCGAATGGTATATGTTGTATTCGGTGATCATTATCGCGAGATGGTCAATAGAAGTACTATTCTGATTCGTGTAGTTTCACTCGTTTACACGTGTGATAAAGAGGTCATTTGAATTCGCGGCTAATTTAACTAAGGTAACGTGTGGTGTTACACGAAACAATATTGATATGTTTATATCAATACTGCTTCTCACTCGTTATCTCTGTTATCAGAGAATAATCTTTAATTATTGTTTTGAGCCTATTCTGTAATGCATTATGGCCTTGTGAAGCATTGATTCAAATTTAATGAGCTTTTAAATTAGTTTCACATTTCTGAAACAAGTGCTTATTTATCAATATTCAGTATATTTCCATAACTGTAAAATGAATTGTGTTCTAGATCAGGCTGATTGTCTTTGTGTTAAATCGTGTCATTTCCTCACTGTATATACTTTGTAACACGGTGTTATAGTAATTTACATGTTTTCTAAAGTTCTGCCCTCTAGCAACGAATCGCTTCTGTGATGTAAATTACTAGTAGCTACACAAAGGCCGTTTAAATTGTCGAAATCGTTTTGATCTGTAGTCGTCCATCAATGACATTGTCTTTGCAGAGAGAATTTACTATATATTAGATGTCCAACGACTACATAACCAAACAAAGTGGTCGATTTGAACGACATCGCCTTCACCCGCATACGTCATTTTGACGTCACAGATGTGCTCTGTCACTAGAGGGCGTCATTTTGTGTATCCATGTCATACCATGATTAGCGTATGTATAAATCATCTCTCATATTCTTTAGATATACGTAACGGTGAATGGCAGCGAATTCAAGTAATACGAAATCACGGACAAACATCTCTCTATTTAAATGACGAAGTTGCTCACATCCAGACACCGCTTGTATTACTTGATGACTACATACCGATAGAGAGCCGGTTCACCAATCCATCATTGAGTAAGCAGACCTTCAGTTATTTGTTTCCCTAATTGAGACTTGTTGAAATTGGATAAAAATGATTTTTCTAGCAGAATGTTGTGCTCATCTTGCATCATAACAATACATAAAAATGAAACTGTTTGGTACTGTGTATACTTGGATAAATTAAATTGTATTTTATTGTCAACTAAAATTGCTGTGCTTAGAGCACAATTTGAGTTTGATGAAATTATGACTTTATAATATACATGTGTGTTGATTGTTTTGATACTGACAATAACAATTACTACATATGCATATTAGTGTATTTCATTTTATATAAAACGGATACTACACTGCAGCAATATTAAACTGCATGTTTTCGTTTATATTAATTGCTTATTTAACGTTTTAGAAATTCATAGTTTCTCATCATCCTATTTCAGTTGATGTGTGGCCTGAGTTTGAGATCAATACAAACAGCACTCCTTACACATATGTATATATTGGAGGCGTTCGACAAAACATGACAGACCCTCTGAATGTCAACACACAGGGAATGGAAGGATGCATGCGAGCAGTGTTTGTTGATGAGGTGCCTTTCAGTTTAGTTGCGGAGACAGAAAATAACGCAGGTTAGTTTTTGAAAAATGAATATTCTTGAACAAATTGTGAGATTTTATTAAGAGACTTATGATTGTCTCCATCTGCATTGAACCTGATCTATGACCTCGAAGTAATAAGCATACCAGAGTTTGGATGTCTACCATGAGTATAATGCCTACTTATGCAGAATTGAATGTATAGTACACATGTTATGCTATAATAGTTGCATGTTCGCACTTGAAAGCGTCGCTCGGTTTATGGTCACATGCGACGTATAGGCGTGAAAATACATCGAATGTTTACATGTAATTTGAATACGCGCTGGAAAAAGGGGCCACTTTTTAAGTTCATAACTCCTGCATTGTAATCAATAATCCTGTGGCATGATGACGTAACATGCAAGTTTATAACTTTTCAGGAGTGTTTCCTTTCTGTACTCCATTCTGCACACCATCGGCATGTAAACATGGAGGTATTTGTAAAGAAAAATGGAATAGTTTTGAGTGTGATTGCTCAAAGACACTGTTATATCGAGGCGCTCAGTGTGAAATCGGTAAGTACTAGTACATTCCTAGCACGCCTTCGCAAGGTTATAAATGTTAGTGTTTCTGTTTCATCCCATTTTAAACAGTGATTTGGTTATTGTTTTGCATATTCAAGTTTTGTTTGGTATTACATATTGATAAAAGATAGATACGGTAAGATTTAATTTAAACTAAAAATGTTTACAACATACATATCAGTATTCGTTAGATAAATTAATAAAAAAGCTAGTGCGCATGCGTTTTCAATTATCTAATGAATACAAAATGTACTATACTATTTAAAAAATATTTCCTCTTAGATATTGGTGCTTATTTTCAACCCAATATGTATCTTCTCTACGAGTTCAACCCATTCAACTCCACGTACATCCAGCCGCCTGGTGCAAATGATCCAGCCTATGATGAAATGGACTTTGCGTTTATTGCCAACAACACGTATGGTGTCATGGCCTATGTTAGAGGGGACATCTACGACGATGAGTTCCAATACATCATTGTAGAACTTACAAAAGATGGTTATGTCTTCGTACATATCAATCTTGGTTACGGACAAGAAAGTAAGTGTCAATTCCAATTTCAATTAGATTGCTAGAGCTATTATTTGTTTAGTATACATTTGTATCACTTCAATTATTAACACGTGGTACATATGCGAGGTACATGTGCTCCGTTAAATAAAAGTATAACACAGTTTTTTTATTCTAATGCTATTCTAATAATCATTATAAATCACTCCAATCGAGTATATAATGGTGGTCAGTTTGTGCCACATACGAACTTGTGGTACGTGAACTGATTTAAGTTTGTATTTATATAATTTTGTTTTAATTTGTTGCAGCATTTCTTGCTCCATTACCCGGCCCATACAACGATGGTAAGCGTCACTGGTTTTACTATCGACGTAGAGAACGACGTATTGTGATTGATGTGAGTTTAACGATTATAAATACGTATTTCTAGCATGACCAAACTTTGATTTAAAACATATAAATCTGTTGTTTTCGTGATTTCATATTCGAGACGTCGATCTACGCTACTTCGCATTTCTTGTTTCTTATTTGTGTGACTTTAATGTTCAATAGGTTCCATTTGTTTTCGTGTTTTTCTCCCATACCCTGGTCTGTAGCTCTATTTTTTATGTGTTCGTGATGTCTGGTGAGCATGATTTTTGCGTGCATTACTAAATTCGTAATAACGATTTCCCATGCTTCTGTTAATTTAATCTAGATTGACAACACTGCGAAGGAAATCATGGACTTAATGGTGGACGAAGACAAAGCGTTATTTGATAACAGAGATGCTATAGTTATTGGAGGTGTAGAAAATGAATTGATACGACAACCTTTGAAATCATTTTCAAATTTCAGTGGATGTATCTCGGGTAAGCTAAATGAACAAATACAAACAATTTGGATGCTATGAACGACATTTCGTGCACATATTTACGTCACAAATAAACTTCGCCGATAGATGGCGTGACTTTGGAAAAGATGTATTATGTGGTACAGGTAGGTTGAATAGACACAATAAAACACAACTGAAATATCACGTCACCAAACAGTGTACATAGCGTGTGCATGGTCTAAAACACACAAACAAAAAATGTTTTTCCCGTGACTTTTCAGAATTCCAATACAATGGAATACAGCCAATCAAAATCGCACTTGGGTTGGAAGGAAATGATCCAACAATCGTTGACGTCGAGGGAGATTTGTTAGAAGCTAGCTGTACTGTCATTAGACCAACTACAGCGCCGTTTTCTTTTGCAACTGACCAGTCCACCACGTCTATGATGCCCCCTACTGAGGTGAGGATATGAAACGATGCATGACCTAGTGTCCATTTAATCTTCTTGATATTTCTTCATTGACCCAGTCAACAACAGCGTACACACATACTCGAATTTCTATTTACGTAACTAGTGGTTTTCAAAAAAACAAAAAAACATCAAAAGTATCAAAAGGCGAAACAACTAAAGCATTTTATACTGTTTACTTAAATGGCATGTACATCAGTACTTGACTAGATGATTATACACAATCGCCCCTAGCATGCAGTCATTTTGAATGCAGCTAGGGGAAAGCTTGATTCATCGTTTGCGGAAGGGTTTGACATGTCATTGGTAACATAGCGTAAATTACCTCTCTTGCATCGTACGTGCCATGAGCAATTTCCGGTTTCAGCTGTACATTATTATTATATATTTTGTAGATGTTCACCTACCCACCTTGGAATGTAGGAGCAGCATCAACTGTGTACTTGTCTTCACCTCAAGCAGTTGCTCCAGAAGCACAGACAGCTGACTCTTCATCGAGCACAGGTATTTCTATCTATTTAACACCTTGACTTTCCTTTGAAAAAACACATAGTTACTAAGATCTTTTGCCCTTTGAATATTGTTCGAGTATCTTCCACCACCGTGTTTACTGTTGCCTTGATCGATGTAACTATGGTATTTGGAACAGTGGATGCGATGACTGGCGAAAATAAAACACTGTCTCGTAGTCTATTCTCGTTATTAACGAGATTTTGACGGCCATTAGCATATAGGTATATTTTCGTGAACTACAATGTTCTCTCCGACTTATTTGAAATTTGAACTAATTTAACAATTCTGCATGCGAATTATCTCACTGTAATAATAATTTATTTATCTATGATTTATCTGAGCTATTTTCTTGATTTGATTGTTTATATCTAAGATGGCTTCTTTTTCAGTTGTCCTAGCTTTTATGGTAATCGTGGCAGTAGTTCTATTGGTGGCTATTATTTGCACTGCTTTTCAAATAAACAAAGAAGAGCAGAAGAAGAAAGAAGGTTATCAAAATGTCCCAATGACTGAGATGGAAAATGGTACTAGACAACCAATTAGAGGTAGGCGAAGAAGGTTTTTCTTAAGATGAGGAAAATAAGTTTTTTTGAGGGGTGGATGACAATTATGTATACTATTTTGATTAACTGAACAGTTCACAATACAACTCTTAACTTATGAAAACCATATTTTTTTCTGACAACATTTTAATGCAAATTTGCATGTATTTACTAGTACTAGCATGGAGGTATATTTATGCTTACATGGTACTAGACATTTACCTACTAATTTTGGAACCACTGAATATAATGCTACGCTGTCAACAAGTCTATATCAAAGTTTTTTCAAAATTATGAAAAAGATTTATGCATTTTGGTTTCAAAAGTTGGTGCTCTAAAGGGTGATAGGAGAATTTTGTTATGACTATTTTCAATGTAAAGTTTTAAAATGAAATCTTCCTATATAGATAAAGATGCAATAAGAAAAGAAGATCTCAACAAGCCTTCACATACTATCGTGAGAGAGCTGCCTGAAGAAAAAGTCCCACTGAAGGAGGTTTGGACAAAATATATTATCTATCATTTTCGTCATACTTTCTTTGTTATGCCATTAGGATACAAAAAGTAGGAAACAAGTTCGGGTCCTTGGACAAGTCCGGTATATAAAAATAACGAAATATGTTTTTTTTATCTTTGTTTTCTTGCATTGGATTCTTTGGTGAAAGTATTTATGTATTACCTTCATGTCTTCTGAAGCATGCCATATGACATGTAAAAATGCAGCAAAGACTCCATAAAAAGACTAGTTTATTTCCTTTTCCATCGCAATACATAGATCATCCATCGTGTAATGCATAGATGTTTAATGTATAACTATGATAAAGGGCGTTGGTCGTCGCGGTGCGTTGTGTTCGATATGGGTTTCATGGGACGTATACAATTTATTCACACACAAATTTCGCACATGCGCTACGCGACGACCACCTCGCTTTAATTTTTCTAATATAGTGTATTTAGTTTATTTTCATTCGTCATCATATCATTTATGTATTCATTTCCCCCACATAACAAAATCAAAACACAACCAGATAAAAAACCCACATAGAATGATTACGAATGACGTAACGCGAATCATATCTTATTTTGGTAAACTACATTATACATAAGTAATTCATATCTTATGTAGTGGACTAGATGTACAGTGCGTGTGTATTACGTGGGATGATTTAATTGTGGTTGATATGTTTTTTGTGTTCTCAAATGGTTTGAAATGTGAATTCGCCAAATCAAATAATTAATTAAGAACAAAACTGTAAAATGTCTAACAAACTATTTCAAACATGAAATATTCATATAATATACATTATTTGGGATAATATTTGAAAATAATTCTACAATGTATTTGAGTCTACAGCAACAATTTTGGTAAAAAACATTCTTCGATTGGGTCAAATGTCATTTGTATTGCTGTGTGATGAGGATCATATATCTGTAGTCATGACAGCAAAGTAATATTATAAAGTCAACTCGATGCTAGTTAATATTTGGTCACTTACATCACGCGACACAAGAATTTAAATTGCTAAATATGGATTTAATTTATTAAATAATTTAATTACCAAGACACGCGTACGTGAATGAGCATATGAAACGTTTTTTGTAAATTAGCTAAATTTGTATACACTTTCGTAGGAACCATGGGCAGTTGATAACCTGTCCGATTCAGATGATGATATCCTACCACATCGCCGACCCTTACAAGTAGGAGTAAGTCATTCAATGTAATAGGACTTGAACTTAATATAAAGTTTCCAGCTGACTAACTAATATCTGACTATTTGTTCCTTTCTCCTTTCCGTACTTCTAACCCTTTTATATTTCCTGACTTCATTAACCAATCCATTACTATAAAAACATATTTACATTGAGCAATGTAATTCAGCTCCTAGTTAGACATCATTACCAACAGTGATTTAATTTCGCTCCTTAGTCTGTTTTCTATACATCGTTCGCGCCCTCCAGCGACGAAATATCTCTGTGACGTCAATTGGTGTAAGGGACATCGTTCACGTGACATCGCCGCTATTGTTTTGATCTTTAGTCGCCCCTTCTATAAATAATATCGTTCTTAGTAATTTACTATAATCTAAATGACAAACTACTTTACAACCAAATAAGTTTGTCTTTTTTAAACCACTTTGCTTACACCAATCTACGCCTTTTAGCGTCAAAAAAGCATTTCGTCGCAATAGGGCGCTTGGATTTTGGGTGTAATGGAAGTAGAAGTCATGGGCACTGTATTGTTCTCATTTCGATGAGATGATTTCATAAGAACGACTAACATATTATTATACTTTTATTATTATTACTATCTAAACAAATCAAACTTCAAATAATTCTTACCTACTTGCTTTATATCGGACCCAAATTTCTGTTGGAAACACTTATTACGTGTCAACCAATATGAGCCGATATATCACAAATTTATTCCACAGATATCATGCATGCATAATATTGGTTGTCATCCGTTAAGTTCAAGTCCTGGTTCACGTCACTGTGGTGGTGGGTTTCTTTTAACATCATCTAAACAACTGCATGTTAATGTGCATGTCACGTGGTACTAACAACAAACTAATGCATTTGCAACAGGAAGAAGAAATGGAATGGGATCCGGTAGCGGATACGACACTTGTTGCTGATGATCCTAATTTATCCCCCGTTACCCGGCAACGAGACAAGACTCCGACAGAAGATAAAGAACCTTTGCTAAACTTCGATGATATACCAATGGCGGATGATAATATACAAGAGCCAGATCTGGAATGGGATGATGAAATGACGCCGCCTCACGAACGACCTGTAAGCTATGACCTGCCACAGCAAGATGAAGACACCGATGAGGATGAAGTTAAAGAGGAGGTGATAAAACAAAAAGATGAAAATGAGGAAGATGATGATAAACCAAAAGGTGAGTGAAGCAAAACAGAAGTGTTCACATCCAGTATGATTAGGCCAAAAAATAGTTTTGTTGCCCTCAGCGACCGACCGACAAATATGATTTGATTTTTTTTAATAGTCCCAAATATTAAAAACTTACCATTTTAAGCTGTAAAAAAGTGTTTCCTCTAAAAAGTAACTATACAGGACCGTTGTTTGATCTCCAGGGTCCCTGGGGGATAAGTGGCGACTTTGAACATCCGGTTGATCTGTATTTCTCTGACTTGTTCCGATTACTATGAAGTTTAAAAAAAAAATCGACCGACCGACCCAATTTTTCAATTTTCCGACTTGAGGCTAACATAAGTTTTTTTTGGCCTTATTATATAGCATAATTTACAATTTTTCTTATTTATTTGGTAGAGATTATGTTTGTAACATCCATCCAACAACCGTTTATTTACATCTCATGCAAGCCAACTTTTTTATCCCTTGTACGTTCGGAATTGTTGTTGGGATGCATGTGACATAACCGAGCCTCGTGACGTTCGATCTGGCGAAATGAAAATGTGAAATTGTTTCTATGGAACCGAATGTTTTATTTTGTTTGCAAAGATCAATTCAAATCTCATTCTTCATTGGTTTACGATCGCTATTAATATTTATTCCATGCAATAAATAATAATATTTCAATTATTGACCAACATCATCTTAGAATTAGTTCCTGTTGAAATGTTTTTAGAGCATCTCAACAAATCATAAAACTCCATTGCTTGGTTTATTTCCCCATGGCAATAATATAATGCAAGTACAACTACACATTCTATGTAAATGACCCAGGTTATAGGTGAGCACGATGTTTTACAGAAGTGAAGAATTTTTTTTGTTGCAAATCAATTTCGTCTCTCATATATGTATATATGTGTGAAGTAGTCTAGTATTTATAGATAATAATTCATTACTCATCTGTACATAGAAACAACCTCACTGAATGTCGTGCAAGATGATGTCGCTCAACAAGATGACGATAGTGATTCTCAAGAAACCACACCTTTGGTTCCTCCAAAAACGTCCGTAAGTTATGAAAACTTAGAGGACGACGATTCTGATAACGAAATCGATAATGAACCAAAACAGAAACTGATTGAATCGGAGTCAGGTGAAGAGTCTGACAAAGAGCCAGAGCCAGAACCAGAATCAGAAGAACAACAACCACAACTAGAGCCAGAGTCAGAACCAAAGCCGGAACAACAGCCAGAGTCAGTACCAGAGCCTAAACCAAAGCAGGAGTCAGGACCAGAATCAAGACCACAACCGGAGCCAGAGCCACAACTAGAACCAGATCCACAACCGCAGCTAGAGCCAGAACCAATTCTACAACCACAGCAAGAGCCAGGAACAGAGCCACAACCAAAGTCAGAACCACAAAAGCCAGAACCAGAGCCACAACCGGTAATTGAACCAGAAATACAAACTCACTTAGAGCCAGAATTAGAATGGGAACCAGATCCTGGTTTCCAACCAGCCCCTGAACGCAAACCCGATTCTGAAGATGACGACGAAATGGTACAAGGGGAAATTGTTTCTCCTGAAAAATTACCCCCTGAACACACAAGTAAAATTGCAGAATTAAAGACACAAGAGGGCGTCCCAGATGAACTGCAGACGAATGGCATGCCTTTTGATTCCGTTTTTGACGATAACGACAATCCTGCCAAAGGTAAGAACCATTTCATATTTATAAAATGTCCAATGTTTTGAGCTCCGTGTCAGCGGTTGGAGCAATGATTATTACCTACAGATAATGGTAATGATTTGTACACAGAACAATTATATAGCGTGTGTTTATAATGACATCACTAAAATAGCGACAGACGACATCATAACTGTTGGGGCGTTGAAATAATTTCTTAATGGTTTATCTAGGCAATAAACTTCCTGGGGATGCACAACAAAGTAATTCAGTGGACGCACGTTGTCCTTATTTGGTCTGTTTCACGCGTTATGCATCGTTCTATAATTACGACAGATTTCATAATCGCGACAAACGCAGTTCGTTGTGTATTTTTACAAAATCATTTGGTCGTCTCTGTTCCAAAACTCGCTGATATTGAATAGTCATTAATATTTACATTTAATTTTAGTCGCTGACGTAATACCAGGCGAACCCGAAGACTCTGAACCAACTCCACAAATATCTTCTCCACAACGGAAAAAGAAAAAGCGGAGGTAGGTTTACGAGTTTCACGTGCTCTGGTTACCTGTAACAAAGTGTTCATCGTGTTGTTTCTACAAATTGGAACAATTTCATAATCTGTCATTCATGAGCCCGTTTGTGGCGGGTTTAATAATTGCACTTGACCTCTTGGACTCGGAGATAGATTGTGAACTACGTCTTGCTTCATAAACACAACATTTTCATATTTTATACCAACATTTTCAAAACTGTTCAAAGTAATCTGGATGCCTACAATACACAATCAACATGTTTTGTTCGAAACACAATAAGAAACACCTAACAACTGTTTCCAAGTATGCTAATCCGCCATTTTGCTTACGTCATTGACACTGTCATTCGCAAGGTAGCATTGCAACAAGAAATTATATTCGATTAACTGAGTATTCTAAATTGTATGGTATTTTTATATTTCTCTTTTTCAGAACAAGTCGGCGTGGCTCAGAAATATCTCAGCAAAGTCAAAGCTGAAACCATTCAAGATGTTATCAGTATTTGTGTAGTTCAGTTTCATATTGTGTTAGTTTGCGCGTATTACTTGAAATATATATGTTTGCAGATGTTGAGTTACCTTGTTGTAAAATAATCACCAAAAATTTAAGAATTTATCAGAATATTTTTATAATATTATTTATAATCAAAAATGTAATATGAATGTTTCACAATTTTGAAAATTTAAAGGTTTACTCGACTTGATTATTGTCCTGTTATTAGTGATCTGTCTTGCTCAGTTCATTGTATTGTCACGTGATCACACCTCTGCTGTGCTTAGGTCATTTTTGTAACTTTATACAAGGTAACGTTATATGTTTAGTTTCGTAACGTTATCGCGTCTGCAAACATTAGTTCTCTAAATTAAAGTTAACTCATACTCGCAACGCATTCATTTTCTCAAGTATTTACTGACATTTCCATAGCAACCATATCGACCCGCAATGAATAATTAATTTCATTTGCTGTTTAGTTCTCTCACTACATGTTATCAACTCTGTATTAAGCTGTGTTATGTATGTGAATTGGTCGCTCACTCTTGAATTGTTAGTTTTTCAACTATTCATATCATTTGTTGTCATTTTTTAACGCTAACATTTTAATCAATGAAAATGTAATTTATATTGTAATAAAATACGAATGAATCATAATCTAAAGGTTATGGCTTGTTATCACATGTAACTCCGTTGTTTACATACAGTGTGAATACTTATGCAGTGGTAAAAGGTGGAATAAACTTAAATTGACAATATATAGAACCTACCAACACTTTTGGGGCCTGGCTATGGTAATAGTTCGAGGCAAGCAACACTCTGGTTTAATTCTGTGTAGTTTTTTTAGGGATGAACTTAATAAGTCTTGCTGCTCAATTCAGTCATGAATTGTAACGCTGTCACTTTCCACTGAAATATTGGGATTATTTTATTACGCAAATAAATAGAAGTATGGATATTACGAACATCAGGTTGAAGTTGACAATCAACATTAACTGAGAAACGGTCTGCCAAATTGGTAATGTTGTCAGTACTTTTGTGCGTGATTTTGTTTAGTTCTTCGATGTCAGGTTTTTTCCACTTTAATCTCCAATTCATAAAGTCTGAGCATTGCCTTCATTTGCATACTATTTCATTAATGATATACAATGGTTAAAGCGGGAGGGTCGTCATCTGCGCATGCGGCAGACGGTTAATACGTTGTTGTTTTTTTACAAAAAGCGTCTACCCATGAGCCTTTGCGTACGTGCGTTGCTTAAAACTCAATTTCCACGCGTGCGCAGGTGACGACCCCTCCGCTTTAAGAGAAATTATAAGCACATTTTTATAACATAAATAAAGTAACAGCATATACATCATATGGCAGGTTATTTTAAACATTACGTCATTGTTCTTTGAGGATGGTTTTATTGGACGGCAAATCAGTTAAACAAAAAGAAATTAATTTCCCCTGCTGACCTGTGAGTGGCAAATGTGTTTGTGTGTGGATTAAGAAAGAACACTCAATTGCCGCTGAATAATTAACGTAACATTGCGCCAGAAATGTTAACTGAAAATATAAAGTGTAAAATTTTGACCAACCCATCTGTACAATTTGATTAAACTTACGAATTCTGAGGAATGCTTTGCCACATTTAAAAAAAAAAAAAAATTTTTAATAAAATGTGTTTTTTCAACTTAATCTTTCCCTGAAGCTTTCCTTTGTACATGTATCAGCATGTCATTATTTGATTGTTCCTAATACCGGATGTATGCGAATACATCTAAGATACATGTACTCATAATAGTAACATCGTTAGCGCTTGACAAGAACAAGATAAAATATCCAAAAGGAGGTAGCAACCACCAAAGGTCACCCGCGAACGTTCCAAGCCTCGACTGATTTCTGCCGTTGGTCAATTGTGTATCACACCTTGTGTATTTTATGTATATCCCAAACACAGATATTTTCAAAGATTATTTTCATGCTAGTAATGTTGGATTGAAACGTGATTGGTATAAATAAAGAGTCCAGTTCAAATTGCTGTTCAAAGTAATGCAGTCAAAGGTATTCATTTCGGGGTGCTTGAAATGAAGGACTTTCTAGTACCTAAAGATTGCATTTACATAACACTTTCAAGGTTTGAACGTGTGAGGGCGCACTGAAAATTTTTAATTGATCACCGAGATGTAACGTCATGAATAATCTTAGTTTCAAAAAAGTTCCAGAACTTCGCAAATTTCTCTGGGAATGTGGTATATTATACTTTTATTACAATAAAGATGTCTACTTTTTAACTAAAGGAGGCAGAAACAAGTTGCAACAATAACCATTTTATTGGTAAATGACACGGGTAAAATATTGGCCAACATGATCTGAAAGTTTTTTATCCGTCATATCGCTTTCTCAACATGAATTCTAAGTCGAGCGATTCTTCTAGTTAAGTCGCTTACCCTTTTCTGAATTACACTTCCTCATAAATGGTGGAATGACAATCTTGCCTTTTGTTCTAAAAGCAGTCCCTGAATATTAAAACTGCGTTCAACTATGATTGTATCGTCTCTCTCAACTAGTTCAAGGAAACCACTGATCATTGTAATAAATTTGGCTGGCACATTGTTGCCGCATAACTCAGATACTAACGTTATTGTTCCATCGGACCTCACACCAATCAGGCAGTTATATTTATTGTAAGACATACTGTATACGTACTATAAGTTACCGCCTGTGCTGTCGGAGTAGAAGGTTCCTGAATAAATAATTCCGTACGATTAATAATACACCTGGTCTTCGGGTAGCAAACTTTAAAAGACAGCGGCATATGTTTGTCTATTTGTGAACATAATAATAAAATAATATAAAAATGTGAACATAATGATAAAATATTATAAAAATGTGAACATAATGATGAAATAAAGAAAAAATAAAAACATAATGATGAAATAAAGAAAAAATAAAAACATAATTATAAAATAACCGCTATTTCACTTTGTGTTGTTTACGGGAACTCAGTGTCGTCACCAGGTGGCGCTCTTTGAGAAAAAAAAACGTAACAAGTAGTTTAATCATGATGTCGCCACTAGAACTAGAAGCATTTTTTATGTAACAGATAAACATTTATCATAATTTGTTTGTGTAAAATAAATAATATAATGGTTTATATGATGTGTCAGTTCTTGAAGTATAAAAATAGAACAGTTTATAGACAGATCGGGATATGCAAAATGTTGTGCTCGTTAAGTAAGGGGTTTTCAGTTTAGCATAAAGTCTGTGGAGATGTTAGAATTTGAAAACAAAAGATAATTGTACAAGAACAGTTACAGAAAAAAATATGTTTATGAAAGAAAACCTCACACATAGTTGAATTACAGTATCATCATCATGAAAAAAATACGTCAAAACGAGGCGAAGGAGAAACATAATTTGCCAAGTAATTATATTTTTCTCTCTCTGGAGTTTTTAATGACCACACCCAAAACAATTAAATCGAGTTTTAGATAGATATATGACTTTCTTGTTACCTTCACAAATAATGATCACGTGATTCAATTGGACAAAATATGCAAATATAATATTTGGATGGGGGTGGGGAATTCCAAGGCATTGGTGTTATTGTCTATTGATGTTGTTCTGTGCCCATCTAAGTTATTCCCATAATCACGTGTGTTTGAGGGTGACACATTGTTCTTTATAGTATCAGTAGCATCAGTTAACTTGATTACAATGACTAATCCAATAGTGTCATAATTCTACATTGTTTATGTTAATATTCGTTATTAGAGGATCGATAACAGGGTAATGTCACGCCATGGCCATATCATGTTAAACCATATCGCGTCTATGTCATAAGCCATGTGACGATTTCATTTCATATGGCGCCATCTTACGGCATCTTATGTACATACGAAATAAATACACATGTTTACTCAAAAATAACATATACTTCTGCTACTCGTTTTTTGGGAGAACGCAACACAAATATGTACACTTTGATATCATCCGAAAACATCTAGATCCAAGCGAAAAAAATGAAACAAATAAACATGCACAGCTTTTCTACCATTTCCTTTTCCAGAGTCTCGAATGGTCAATCACTGAGTTTTAAATTAGCGCACTTGCCAAAAAACAACACAATGTTACATTTCCACGTCAATTTAAATCTAACGTATTTCGCTTATCAGCAAAAATCCGCATTGAATCATCATTTTCAGGTTTTCAAATAAGGTTTTCTTGAAGCGGGAGGGTAGTTACCCGACGATAACAACACACGCAAAAAGGGTCATAGGTAGACCCTTGTTTGTAAACAACGACACGCTATGGATATCTGACGCATGCGCAGGTGGCGACTCCCCCGCTTTAATAATAATTAATTTCGATCACCAATATATTCATGAACTATTCATATATTACAGTCACTCCAAGGCTGCGTTTAGACCACAGCATTTTAGCCAGCAAATATGGCCGTGTATACGCGTTCGGCTTGAGCAAAGTTCAGCTCCATTAAACCTTTGGGGTTGAGCTCTTATAGGATTGGCCCCGACATGACTCCGACCGTGTAAACGCATTGTACTAAGCTTGTTTTTATAGAAACTATTATTTTCCTGACCAAGATCTCTTCTGTGATCATGCTTTAAAAATATTGATGTGAGAAAACATATTTATTGTTCTCTCCCTCTCGCCGTATCGTTCTGACCTTGCTGTGCTGTGTGTAGTGTATATTCTTATCGCCTTCACCCCTTACTATTGTGTTTCTACGTTGGTACTTGGTGAAAACCGTGTTTAGCACTGAACTGTTGCAGGGACGGACAATATTGCCAGAGATGAGTAATAATACCAATCATATTTCTCGTTGCACTTTAAATCGATTAAGTTCCCACATACAAGGTGGTCTCAATTATTGAGGATTTGGGCTTAATAATTGGTCTTTGATCCCACAGTCAGATTGTGTTTGATCCGACCCCGCGACAAGGATTTCAAGGTTTAAAAGATTGCCCATAGTACCACGCCCTCTACGTTAGAACTATAAGCTATATAACTACGCATGCAAGTTACACCGATATATACATTCAATACATGCACGGTACATAAACATTTTACGCTTCCTCGGAAGGGGGATAGACTGATTGGACAATAATAATTACATCTGGAATGTAAGATTTATCTCCAAATAATACTGTGACACATACAGAAGATAGGCTATTCGTCCACCTTGCAAGGCACATTAGAATCGTCTTGCGACTGACAGTGACACTGAGGGGTCACCCAAGTCTAGATAGGCTATTC